ATGCTGTCAAGGTACTCGGAAGATTCCACCTGTCCATAAAGTGTGATTTGTTTGGTGCTCTCCTCCTTGTATTTGAGGATGTTGCCTTTTCCCTTGGGTATGTTGAGGCCTACTCATGCAGAGGCTTCTGTTACAGTGGTTGTCTTGACTAGCATTTGTTTGTGTGTACGGGATACGGCTGTGCTTGAGGTAGAGCAATACACTTAATATGAAAAGGGCAAGTTATGAAGAATTAACACAAATGCACGTCTGAGCCATGTCATACCAACACAGTTGATCCTGTGTTTATCTTCTCTGACCCTCTATCCGTGTTAGGTGTTGAACGTGAATTTCCTCAGTTATCTCATGCCCAGATTCAAATATCATGTGACTACGAATCAATACCACTACAAGTTTTTGAATTTTCAGAGTTTGGAAAGGTTACTCAATTTTCTCAATGTGATGTAAACCTCTCACTATGCTCGACACGACATTCAAATAACCAAGGGAACGATCAATGAGATCAAAGACTTACGTAATTACATCTACCCATCATATTAATCAGCATGAAAGTGGGCAGCCATTTGTTACTAGAGCTGGTTGTTTATCTGAATGGTATTTATTGACATAGAATGACGGTTTAAAAATATCAGGTTGTAGATGTGTCCACCGATGCAAATGTCCCCCAGAAACAAATAGTTTTATAGGCTTTCCTCACTACTCATGACCCTTGTTCTAAACGGAACTCACTAGTTGATAGAGTTCGATGAAAAATCATAGACACCTTCTATAAATCAATGTCGAATTCCATTCTACTACCTTCTAGCTATCGACCGTAGCGCAGTGTCGTTGTCTTAGCTGGATGATTAAATCATGTAGCTTTTGTTGTTCTTCCGAGCAATATCTTTGGCAAAACCTTGAGTAGGAGTGACACATTCGAATTCCTCAAAATATAGATTTTAGCCTGTGCAACTGTTTGTAATCCGCATTGGTTATTGTTGGCAACAGTTTGTACCTTTTTGGATAGGTATTTCGATTGTCTAACCCGACTTCATCCCATATTTGTTGGTGAGCTTTCACAGCAAATTGGTAGATTGGGTTAATGTTGAAGAGTTACTAAACTTACGACTAGTTTAACTACTGAGCCCCTGAGAATTCTTTGACTTTTATATTAACTCTGCCTAAGATTTCAAAATTTTTCCATTCGAATACATGCTCGCTAATGTCTAGGTTCATTAATATAGACGAAGGTGCATCTATACATATGGTAGTATGCTGACGCCCACCAAAATGAAGATGAAAAAGATGTCTACCCCATCAAAAGCAGAATCGGTATGCAGAAGGACGTCATTTAGAAGGTCCCAATAACCACTGATATCAAAAACCAACAGGACAAGTCGTTACTCATATGCAGAGAAACTCGAATGTGAGTAAATCACTGAGTTAGGTGATCTATATCGCTGGTTGCGGTTCAGTCGAGCTGGAAGGGGATTGTGTGGTCTCATAGAGTATGTAAAAGTCACAGCATTCAAATAACAAACGCGAACTGACCTTTTACTCTATATAGATACTGTAGCCAGTTTGATGAATGGATGGGGCAAACATGGAGATATCAAACGATTAGATTTGTTAGAATAAGTTGAAGATACAGAATGCGACCACAAATGTATGGGCCAGACCGTGCCGAATTGTCGAATTATCTGCGTTGGTTATCCTGGACCTCGACGATATCCGAAAAACCACTTAGCAAAAAGGGATCTGTTTTTGATGTAAACATAATTCAGACTGATCTGTGATTTGGCTAGGGTACATTGACATCTCACTGGCCATGTAAAAGCATTAATTCTGCCCTAAGTTTGTGTCAATAGTATTTATCAAAAGAACACTAAAAGCGTCATGATTAAACCAATCACCATTAAAGACGAAAATCAGAGTAAATTATCCACCTGAGCAGCGAGTCTACACCATATTGGCAACATTAAGTTTACCTACTTTTGCTTGTAGATCACCAAGGTAGGTGATCTGTGTCAATAATGGGGGCCCTACTATAGTTTGATAGGAATGGCGTGACCTACCACCTCACACCGAAATCATACCTCACGATTAATACCTTACGTGGATTCCCCTTTTGACGTATCCAGGTTCAATGGTACTATGATGACTGTGTAAACAAAACAAAATGTTACTGTAGAAACGTATTAGTAAGAACAGACTCAAGAAACAGAATGCAGTCACCGCCGCTTGGGCTAGCCCATAGCATACAATTGATTAATGCGCGTTAGTTGTCTTTGAATTCGATGGGGATAAAAACTGCTCGGTGTTTCGTGATTGACTGCCGGATGAATTGGCTTATGCCCAGTGACGTTTCACTGACCCTACATCCTGATGATCTCGTAGATCACTAACTTAACTGATCTATGTCGAATGATTATGGACCTACTCATGTTAGACGGGAATAAATCGGTCAACAGCCACCTTCAAAGTCACACCTAACGAGATTTATCCCTTTGCCGTATCAAGGCGCTATTACTGTTTTGATGACCGGATAACACACAGGAAGTTCAAATGGTTCAAATGATTGTGGACGGAATAGGAGAAACTTTTGCTCAACGGGTTTTCGTGTCTAGTAGTAGTATACCACCAATACCTCCACGCAGGTACCTAGCTATAATATCGATAAAAGTGGAAAAAGAAAAAAGCTGTTAAATCATAGTAAGACACTACCCTTAATCCTCAAGAATATATCAAGTTTACTTTTAAAGGAATCCTGGGAAGTCGTTTGGACTAGCAGCGAATTCCAGCATTTGACTACTCTTAAGGACTAGAAGTCATGTCTACAGTCTGTTCTGCTGAGTTGTGTCTCTATTTTCTGGGTGTTATCCCTTAGGTTTGTGTTGTAACTAAGCCTAAGTTGGTGTTTAAGGAGATGTTCAGAAGTGTTAGGGATTCTGTAAGTCATTAGAATTTGACCTCCAAGACGCCTGTAATGTTAAAGATGAAGGGTAAACGTTCAGTAATTGTAGGCATTCTTCATAAGGCTTGAGTTTGAGTCACTGAACTGATTTCGTGGCTGGCAGTTGAACACGTTCCAGAGTTTCCTTATAATTTTGGAGTGAGTGAGGAAATACTATGGTTCCATACTCTAGATGGAGACGAATAAAACTGTTGAAGATTATGTGGGAAGTTTTTCCACCAAACTGGCAAAAAAAGCTCTTCAGTGTTACTAGCGCAAGGTTTGCTCGAGTAATCTAACACTCTCAAGTTGAGGAGATCACGTCTTACAAGCATAGATCAAAACTCCCCTCATCAAAGCGTTGTAGATCCGACATTTTACTACCAAACTAACATCACGAAAGCGCCAAAGATGGGCATAGGTTCCTCTGGCTTTCACCATACTTGAATTGATTTCATCACTCGTGCAAACACCAACACTTACACAGCTACCCAGATACACGAAATTCTCGACTACTTCTATCCACTCACTACCCATGATGAGTACAGGATCAGGGTCCTGTCAGTCCTGTAAAAGCGTTTGGCACTTGGAATGTGAAAAGCACATACCATACATACGGACACTAATTGCCAATTGGTTAAGTGCGAATCGCATGGCTTGAGTATTATCGTGCAGCAACATAACCAACCCTATCTGTTGTCCGATCTGGATTAGTGTGCGAACGTTGGAGGAGGTTGGTTTGAATGGTGTGAGTAATTTCATAAATATTGATTCGGTGTTCGTAGTCGGTGATAGCACTCAACATTCGACCAATCGGCGGCTTAAAACCGTTTAGATATGACGGAATTTCCACCATAGGCGAGTTGCTGTATAAGTTGAAAAGTAAAATACACAAAATGAGAACAAAAGGAATTAAATAAGTGAGGTAGTATTAAAAAATAAAAAGCAGTACAACCGAATGATTGTGAATATGACTCGGTGGAATAAGAGTTGAAGTAAGATGGTTTCTTCACTAGTAGTTACCATTCGATTTGTATGTGGGCTGGGATACTGTCCCGGTGCCCGGACCGAAGCACGTAGTTTCCCTAGAGGCCATACCCCGAGCATTTGACCTAAAGGTCTAATCCACAAGGCAGTGGAGCGACGTCCCGAGATGCTGTCCCATGGTAGCTGGTGACCAACGATAGGTTCATAAGCCATTTTATCCTCAGGATGCTGGAGCCCATGTGCACCGATCGTTTGCAATCAGGGTTGTTCCACTCACTAGGTAGCCTTCCGTGTCCATCAACTTGGTTCAAGAGCCGAACATTCGCTTTTCGTCCTCTCTATTTCGCAGAAGAAACCCCCACCGCGAAAACGCAGTGAGTGGGTCTTCCCTGGCAGTTATTGTTTGGACGTGACCATGTGAGAGCAACTCGAGAGACAGAGAGTGGACTCCCCTCATCCTCAGTTGTACCGGAGCATTTGGGGTCACCATACAAGAGCATTTGTTTTCTCTTTTTATTTCGACAAGTGATCTGGCAATTTTAGAATTGTTGATGTTTTTTTTGGTATGGAAACATTCAGAGGGACGTATTTTCATGGCATCCCGAAATCTTTAGAAAATTCAGACTCCTTCCTTTGGGTTGAAAAACTTTTCTTGTCTCGAAGTGAGTTTATCAGTCATAATTCAGTTCATTTTTGGAGATAACAAAATATTCTTCTCACTTCTAAGTGCTACAGTTTGTTTAATTGCCCTGATGTGACCTTTACAACTTGCTAAGTACGATTGTGTTTTGTGCATTCGTCTTAGCTACGATAATTTTACCAGCAAGTAAATTAGCTTGTCCTTGTTGTATATGCTTCTGATTTCACTGCAACATATACTTCGAGCAAAGTTATTATTTTAATTACTCGAGTTATAAGGAATGTTCACAAGATGACTTCAGAGTACGTTTGTCAATCAATTAACAAGCGATCGTTTGAGTCATCAGACTTAACTTTTTCGTCTGAGTTGTTTTAACATATACTGATTTAACTGTTTTCAAAGTTTTTCACATTTCCCAGTAATACACTTGTTTGTTATCTCATGGTATGTGTCGTCGTACACGCTGGTGCCGGATATCACTCTAAATCAAAAGAAAAGAAATATAATAAATTGTGTTCGGAAGCCTGTTCATTGGCCGGGAAACTTTTGTCAGTTGATCATAAAAGTGCCATCGACGCTGTGGAAGCAGCTGTAGCGTATTTAGAAGACTGCCCATTAACCAATGCAGGGATCGGTAGTAATCTGAGTATTAATGGGTATGTGGAATGTGATGCGGGAATAATGAGTGGCTCTACCCTTCAGTTTGCCGGGATTGGAGCTGTTCGTAATATGAAGAACCCGTAAAGGTTGCAAGGCTTCTGTTACAGTCACAAATTGACCATCCTCTGGGTGAGTTAGGACGCGTTCCTCCATCTGTACTTGTCGGTGATGGTGCTCATCTGTGGGCTGCGTCAAAAGGATATCCTGTTGAAAATAGTAATCTCGTCACAAAACATTCGCGGGTTTCATGGGAAAAGTACAAAAGTTGGTTATTTAATGGGAACGAAATGGATGCAACTACAAAAGATCCTCATTTTAATCATCATGAAAATGTTCCTGAGTTAAAAAAGTCTCGTGTCCATAGATTTGATACTGTTGGTGCTGTTTGTATTGATATAGAAGGGAAGATTGCTGCAGCATCTTCTAGTGGTGGTATTGCAATGAAGTATGAAGGTCGTCTAGGTCAAGCGTGTACATATGGTTGTGGTTGTTGGGCAGAAGAACTCAGTTCATTTTCTAGTATTGGGGTTGTCACTTCAGGTACTGGTGAACAACTTATAAAAACCCAACTTGCTCAGCGTTCTGCAGAACGTTTTAATGGTGACTCCATTTCCGTTTCTGAAATAGTTCACTCATCTCTCACTGATGGATTTTTAAATTCTAAGTATCTTTCCTGTGATATGGAAAAATTTGCTGGTGTTGCTGGAGTTTACGCTAATTTCGAACGAATTGACTTTCCTAATGTAGAGGTGTTTTTTGGACACTCAACACGATCTATGAGTGTTGGTCACTATCTGCCGAGTGTTATGAAAAAACCATTTGTCCGTGTATCACGGAAGCAAATTGATAGACCTACGTATATAGAAGTCTACGCATATACCATATAGCTATTCTGGAAATGAAGGGTGAATACTTTTGTATCTGATCCTGACCATTTGACATGAATTTGTTAGACGTACTCGGTATCATGAAAGTGTACAACTCTACTGAGCAAGGAGATCGTCGCAACCATCTCATGTAAGAGTATTTTTTTCTTACTTTTGCTTCATAGTTTTTTCAGTTGCATTTTATTTATATAAACTACAACTTATTTTCTGAAGAATGTCGAATAGTCAAATTAGTGACTACTGATCGATTTCTTATATATAATCGTTGTAATGTACATTATAATTACACTCAACACAAATTACTTTAAACTGTCACATTTGGTTAGCATGTACGTAGACAATAATTTTGAGATACTCGACTGGTTAGAAAAAGTCTTTGTGGCTTTATGGTTTATTGTCTAATACACCACGGGATTCTTCTTGTCTAACTGGTCAGTTTTACACTGCCGATGAAATATTTCGTTAGTTGATGACTTCTTTGCTATGTAAATCAAAACTTGTAATCTGGACTGTTAGTCGTTTTAAAGCGGGAACTATGGAGGGAGTTGATTAGTTGTAAAGTCTTAGCCGTACAACTTGCCAAAAATCTGACAATTATTTCAATTTTGCTGTAAAATTAAAAGCAAATGGAAAAAAACAAATGTTTCGTGCCTCATCTTACGGAAGTTCCCTGTTTGTCGATGTAGTTGCCTTATCTGTTTCTCTAGTTTGGATGAAGAAATAGATTAATGCCTTCAATTCTATGCTTACATAATCATTTTGTGGGTATATTCAACGCAATATTAAATACATAGTGCATTCTCTCCGCTAAACGAATATAACCACTGTATTTCCTCGTCATTCATAGCATGATTCTTGTCTTGGCATTCATTTTCCATCTCTTAAATTAATTTAAGCAATATATTGTATGCGATTTCCCCATTCACTTTTTTTAGCTTGCTATGAATGCTGGCGATAAACTTGAAAACTAATCAAACTCGTGGTAAAGTTGGTCTGGAACGATGACTTCTTACTTCTATATGACAAAACCTTCAGCGTTATTAAATAAATTATTTCCCAAACTGATGGTATTTCTTTGTCTGTTCTTTGGGTAATAACTATTGATGAATTGTCTGTAGTATATGAATTAGAGAAGTATATATGACGAGTAATGACTTCTTGACAAATGTGAAGTTCTGTGTCCCTTCTACTACAAAATGTAATGAATGACTTGAAGCAAATTTTCTTAATGTATACGCATCACTCTAAGTTTTACATAAATTAACAGCTTGTTATTACTGTTATGTGTTTTTTGAATAAATATCTATGACACCTGCTAGTTCAGATTAGTATATTTATACTGTAGCCATGCTAAATTTGTATAAACCAAATATGATTTAAACCCATTATTAAAATTGTATAAGTACACTAGTATAAAAAAATGTTCTCTCTGGTGCAAGTAACAACTATTTGTGTGGGTCAATACATTAGTCTGTTAGCTACGTCTATTGTGTAAAAGGTAATTATATTGCTTAACTATAACCCTTTATAGGTCAAGTGGGGATGTCTCGTGACTTGCTGGCTTGAAGATGAGTTTCTGAACTCCTGAGCCGTTGTCCCTCAATTATTTTCCCGGAAATATACAAACCGCATAGTATTGTAAATTTTACAAATGATTTTTCGGCCATTCGATTACCAGCAACTAGTTAGTTGGCAAATCCCAGCTACTTAACATCATAAATGCTCCGTTTCCGTCTACATTACAGGACGTCGCCTGAATGTATCACAAATTACACTAAATAAGTCAACTGCACATGTTAGAATCATGTCCTTAGATCTTTTGTATGTTCTAACATTCTAATTCGATTAAAGACAGCTTATTGACGAAACCTGGTAATCTAAACTTGAAAACCAGAGTGCTGTTTGGCCTAATACTCAGTGCGACGGGAATTCGTTAGTTTTAAATTTTTATCACAAATACACTTTTGGTCAAAATGCTTCATGTCAGTGTTTTCAAAAACTTCAGATAGGATTGTCCTGAGTATTCTGTCAAAATTTCTCTCATTTATCTTTAATGTAAACGTTAATATGAGAGGGTAAGGCTACATATTGAGCGGTCCCTGAGAAATTGGTTTCCTGTAAAGTACTGTTAAAAGCCTTCGATAATACTTTATTATAGTTTGGGGGATATCCAACTGGTTTTGTTGATTGATTACTCGTTATTTTTATGGTTTGAAGTGCTTAATTTATGTCCGTTCCACGCGATAGTGTTGTAGACTTAATATGCTACTAGTTATAGAATAAACTTCGGGAAGTGCAAAATTCATTTAAATGGTTAGTTACCCCGGCTGAACTGTGTTTTATACGCTAATCAGTTAACGGTAAACAATCGATGCCATATTCTAGTGTTCAATGGTCGAAAGATCATATCGACAATTTCCTAGCATATATCCCATCATTTAAACTGAGTTTGCCTAATGATACAGATTATTCCCAGGATGAATTTCTTATAGTCTTGATATACGAAAAATGGGTAGATTTACGAAATAAAAATGGGTGACTCACCGTATTGGATATTGCATAAATTTGTAGGCATACAATGAATTAGTTAACGATTATCATGTTCACAGAATAAATTGTCAACATTACCGTTAAATACTTTATATACCAAGACATTTTAGTCAACTGAAAACGTCAATCCGGTTACTTTTGCGGATACTTGTTGATTGGATCACTTCCGATCAATCCTTTTTTAAATCATAGTCCCAAGTAAGGACCAGTAGTCTCTCATGCTAAAAAGAAGTCAAACCGTTCGAATTTTATGAAACGCAAAGATCGGGTCACATTTTTCTCCAACTGTCCGAACTAAACTGAGTAACACTTAAATTTGTCACCAAAATGTGTGAAGCTTAATGTGTAGAGCGATCTACTCACACCTCTCTGAATAAGAGATTCTTCAGGTAATTTTGAACTATTCCACATAAAATGTTAATCTGAATATTCCTGAAGTTTCGGTATTTTTGTAGAAGTGAAAAATTTCAGAGGAAACTAGAACAAAGGATTAACAGCAGTAATTGCTAAAAATCATTCGGTCGCCAAATTCATTTTCAAGAATCCACTACCTCAACCGAACATGATAATTCCATCTAAAGATAACAAACCGTGTGATGAATCCGTCGTACTTATTTAAAACAGTTGGGGGAAAATATTGTCAGTCTTCGTTATTTCAGAAATTGTCATCAGCTCCCAAAATCCCATATTTTGTTGAAATGATCAAAAGTCATTGACATGGTGGATAATATATTTTTTACTGTGGTATTTGAAAAGTGATAATGAGAATCTCTCTCGAATTCTGCTTTTAATATGCAAACACCGATTTCTTATGTGTGAAGAGGAATGCGTTTCCTCTTTAATGCTAGTTAGTAGATGTGTAGTTTGTTTTGTCGTACAAAACCATTAAGGACCCCACAGATATTCATAGTTTAACAACGCTTTTGTCCGTAACACGTTTATAATTGAAAGGTACCAATCAAAAGTCGGGCATGAGTTCGAAGATATATTTAGAGAGTGGTCAATATGTTGAGAAGCGTCTGACCCGAGCTGGCTATTACTTGCGAGGGATGTGTAGCACGACATGCCCACTCGTAAGCTGGTGCGGATGCGTGGCCGAGCGCCTTCAGCTAGGATGTGTCCAGTAAGACTAGTGAGATCCGTACCAATGTTGGATACTTGCAGAAATATCTAACTCAGGGAGTTATTTACCACTATACCATCCTTGCAAACTCTTAAAATGTGTACTGCCACTCGACTGACAGTTAAGATTGTGAATTCACAAACATATTTTTTGTCTTATAATTGGGTTTATTCTTTCGTTACATTTTTCACATGATCGAAAAGTAACTGAATTTCATGTTTCCCACCATCAATTTTGTCGTTTAAACTGAAATTTACAAACTTTTTCTCCTGGATTGGAATAAATTAGTAATCATTTCTGTACAGTTAGTTTGCGTTGGATTTTTCAGAACAAACTACTTTTATTATCTAACTATTTTTATCATCATCATCATGCTTGTGGATTATTTCCAAATTGTATAACGTACTCATTGTAATAAAGACGGATAAGTCATAAAAAATTCATATCATGGCTGTAAAGAATTGCGAATTTCATGATATCATAACCTCTAATGACTAGAAATTTATAAACATTTTAGATCAGGAGAATACATATTGTAATGAAGAAGACCTAAAATTGTCGGCATATTTGTTTTGTTTGGTAATGATCACACAGCGTTTTGTGGGAGGGGGTGCTTAGGCCTTATCCTAAGATCGTTTAACTTCTTAAGGTATTTAATCATGATGATTTTGTAATTATATGAAGCATAGCAATAAAAGTTTAATACTCTAACAGAAAAACTTAGTCATATTTATACACTTAACAGAAGAGGAAAGAGTAAGTAACCTGATAAGTTGTATATTTTTTGGTTATAGTAGCTTCATTTTATAATGTAAATTGCATAAGTGCTTTGAGTCATGGGTTAGTGGATGCCTAGTACTTCCAGGTTCAAATTTTTCCACTGGCTAGACAAAGTTCTTGACCTGTTTTTGTTTGATAATCAATCTCTATTTGTACAAACAAAGTGCGAAAAAATATCTGTTTGAAACACTTAAACATAGGCGCAACAATATTCAGAAGCAATAAATAATAAATGAAATGTCATCAATAAACTTTCATTAGTATTTATTATGGTTTTAGGTTAGTAGTATTTGTTATTGAATTAAATGCATAAGCAGGAGTGTTTTTTCCATAGATTGTGTTCAGGATTTAGATTTCTAACAAGTAAAATAATACCAGTTGTTGAAGTACATTTAATTTTTGTTTGAGTGAATATTAGTTTTGGTATATAATTAATCTCACTATCTAACCGCTTTTTACATAGAAAACTGTATCTCTAGTTTCTAAGAACTAATTACAGAATTTTCTACAATTTGCTTTTTGCCGCTACCTTAAAATATAGATCAAC